AAGATTACATCGGTTGAGCTACATCGAGCGTGCTTGATGTCCAGAGTGATGTAATCTCTCTTTGACCGCAGCTCAGTCAAATCAGCTCGGATCAACCTACTTTAATCATGGAAATGGATGTCTAGAGCAGGGGCATCGTTCCCATGCAGTGGATCTCGCAACAATGATGATTGGATAAAAGTGGCCGTTAGCTAGCAATACATGCCTGTTCCTAGATGATCCATAAAGTAATTATACATTGACCCTTTCATTCATGCAAACGTAGCTGTGTTACACAACACGACCCTCTGTGTCTTTTGCTCTGCCAGGGTCCACCTACTTGACAATGAACAAAGACCACTTCTCATATAGCATCACGCTTACAAACATAAAGGTGCCTGTATCTCTAAACTTTACAATGAAGCGTGGGGTCTTTATGAGGACAAACCTACTTGGCTTGGCCAACAGCACCTTGTGTGCCAGTTTCACAATCAAGGCGGCCATTCCCAGATTTGCCAAATGTCGCCACCAGCCAAATTGGAATCGGGTCGACCTCTTCGACGACGACGACCAAAAAAATATTTTTTGGGCTGTTTGCGACATTGAACGCGAAACTTTCACACAAGGTGCTGTTGGCCAAGCCGAGCAGATTGCTCTAATAAAAACCCCACGTTTCATTGTAAAGTTTGGAGATACAGGCACCTTTATGTTTGTAAGCGTGATGCTATATGAAGAGTGGTCTTTGTTCATTGTCAAGTAGCTGGACCCTGCTAAAAGTTGTGTAATAAACTGAGAGGGGCAGGGCTTGAAGGATTCTTATTGGTGGAGAGTGCATGATTGACACTTTCCCCTATAGTAAGGTCCGCCTATGGTAGACCCTTGGGAACTTTTTTGGATGAACCATGGTATGGATAGCAAGCCAAAGTGATCAGTGCATCCAAGACTATGAGCGGTGAAGGTATTGTTTGTCTCCAGGGTTCGTTCTTATGTAAGATTATACATACAAGATTTTGTCCATGCTGATAGTTGTCATAGTTAAGCATGTGCATGTACTCATGCCACATGGTATCAGAGCTCACTCCTAGACGTAACGATTTAAGCTTACAATGGACCATGCTTCTGTAACAAGCACTGTTGTTGGGTACCATAACTATGGGTTTATTATCTTTGAGAACGCAAGCGTCTATCTAAACATGTATACAATCCGTTTCTGCCACTGCCTAACGTATATCCGCATATGAATAAGGAAGCTTTAATGAATGTAATATGACAAAAGGAACAAAAGCCTCTCACTACAAGATGTAGGTGATCCAATCTCGCTTTCCAACTTTCTAATTTCTATCCTCCCTTTCATTTCAGAAGCCAACCAGTGGACCACATAGGATCAGCGGGTATCATTGTGTCATTGTATTCTTGGCTGCTGCCGTCATAAGCACCTTCATCCATGATTGCAAACTACTTGCTGAGCATGCCTTGACTTCAACATTCCAATATCATCCATGGCGGCAAACCATCTCTCGTCAAAGATACAAATCCATGCCATCCAATCCATCATCATCCTCAACCGTATCCGTGTGGCATAATCCATCTTCCCTGCTGACGACGTGCCAAGCAACCAAAACGACATTTCAATATCACCTGACACTATGCTTGATTGCATCCACCCATCCATAACCATTGCAAGCCCAACATGTTGATAGAAAGAACTCCTTTGATCGCTCCCTTTTCCATCTGGGTGTTGATCAATCTCTTTCTTGGTCATTTTCATTGCAGCTCAACCAGGTGAAGATTGCTTGTATTGCGGTGCATCTGATAGCTGATATGGCATCATCCATAGGGGGCGTTTGTATTAGGGCAAGTTGCTACGCGTAATAAAGCTGCTTCTATACAATTGGCTAGCTGCTGTCCACACCGTAAGGAAGGTTGCTGCAAGTAACTTGAGGCGATGGAGTGAAGGCCTTGCTAATGGCAGCTACTGTTACGTTTGGTTGTGGAAGACGAGTGTGCAAGAGTGTGTGTGTTGTAGTAGAGTGACAAGATGGTGAACGCTTTTTGAGACAATGGAGTAACGCCTCGGTAATAGCAACTACTGGAACGAACGCTACGATTGGTTGTGGCAGAGGCGTGTGCAAGACATTGTGTGCTTTCAAGGACGGCGGGTATTGGAGTGGAGTGTACACGCCATGAAGCTGTCATTCAGTCAACGGCAATCGGATCAAGGCAGTTGTAGGATGGACATGATGGGTTGAAGCAGGATAATCGTTCGCAGGTGGTAGTTGTACGTGAATGGGCCAACAGTTGGGAATGGGAGGAAGAGACAAGAGGCCGGGAGTGGAAGGAGTGAAAATTAGAGCTGTCATGCACTCCCTTATAAATCCATGTACGTTTTTCAATCATGAGATTGCCCCTCTCGAACTTGAAACTTTCACACAAGATGCTCTAGGAAAAGCTGATCAACTTTGCTTTAACAAAGACCCTCACTTCATTACTAAAAATTCGAAAAGCATATACTTTTATATTTTACCTACATAGTACGTATGCTGTAAGCGCGTGAGATGGAGCTGTTTGTGTCGACAGCACTATAGGCAGTCGAATGAACCACTAGCAGCAATCAATCGAATCACTATCCCAAGTGAAATGAAGAATCCATGAACTTAAAAGAACGGATGGATCAATGCGTGCTGTTGGTGCAGTCCTAAGATAAAAAAGCACTACGAACCCGTTGTCATCTCCTTGCCTTGGCTCTACTAAGCACATCACTTGCAAAAGACATCTCAGGTCATGTTTACGCATATCACATGGTGCATCTCTGGCGATGTGGATGCGTATGTACAGTGGCCGCTCCATGTTGTTTTATGCAGCTTGATACGTCAGCTTGTTGTTGAGTAGTACAGCGCTACAGAATCCTCCATCACTGACACCGACGCAGATCACACTTGTACTACTTTAACCCACCGCATTGTCCTAAATCAAGTGTCAGTCAATTTGATGCAGAATAAAGAAAGTACATCTCATCCACCTCTACAACTACTCTTACATGCCTTGTTTCATGCACGTGACCATGTGTAGATGCTTATCGTCCTATTCTTGCGTTTGATTGTTTGGGCCTAATTTTGGATCAAGGACAAAGCCGAAAATGGAGTTCCAGTGAATCGGGTGCATCCATTGTTGAAGATGCCGATCACTCTACTTGCATTCGTTTATACTAAGCCTCGTTATCCTTGACTCATTAAGCATGATGTTCATCCACATCATGTACGAAAAGAACTGAGTTATAACCGATAAAGCTCTTTATAAAGAAAATGGTATTTACAGCTGCGGGTGTGACACAAGAAAGAGCCTCTTGAAGCTCTTTGGTTGCAAGTGGTGGCACTTGTACCCCGATAACAAAACCTGGATTACACTTTGAGGCTATGCAACTTTTACTCTTTCCTTTTTCCTTTCTTACCTTTTTCACCTACTTCTCTTTCTAAACTCTATACTTTACCTTTCCCCCTTGCTCACATTACATATCACCATCGATTCGCATACATAATACAGCAATGCTAACCATTGCAAGGAACGCTATGGCAATGCTGTTGCTCTTGTTAATCTCATTGGTGGCACAACATCCGAATCAGGTGGCAGCTGGCAACCCTCCACCAGCCTATGGCGGTCGTAAGTGTTTACATTAAGAGAAAGAGAGAGCGCCATAATCGTGGTTTTCTGCATGAATTTTTACGTACATGTTTGTGATGCATCCAGGTTGTGCTTATGCAGCCTATAAGATCTATTGTTATGGAGGTGCCACTAGTATCTTGAACGACCTCGGCTTGAAAGGCACACAGCAATTTTTCGCTTTGAATGTATCGGACCCGATTACGGTAGCAGCCAACAGCTCATCTTGGTATACGATTGATTTCACAGGCCAAACAGTGCAGCCCGAGCCCAACGTGTTTTTCTCCATGGCAGCTATCGACAAACCTGATCAAAAGTACTTGGTCATTTTGGGTGGTGGTGGCAAAAACGATGGCACTGCAATGCAGCATTCGGCCATTTATTACGACATTGAAGCTGGCTTATGGAATACAATCGATTCGGGTAATCACCCACAAAAGTATGTGTGCAAACTACATGTGTGGCCTAGCGTGAATTATTGATCATTGCATGTTCCTCCTATAGACGCTTCCAATCATTGATCTTTGATGAGGCTGGTAGCAAAGACCGCTTCTTTGTATGGGGCGGAGACAGGTGTGTGTTACCATGAACCGATATTTGTACAGATTGTGCATCCCAATGTTTATATTTTGTTGCACGACAGCTGATGTGTGATAATGCTTAATAGGTCAGCCTCCACAGGCTATTGGAATGAGACATCTAATAATGACGATGTTCCCTTTGACATGGCCGTATTATCCGACAAGGTAAAGTGTATACGCAAGAAGCCATCATGATGATGGTATTCTATTTCCATGACTCACCTTCCATAAACCAACCATAGTGGGAATGGTCATCACCAACCAATAATATCCAAAACCTTTCGCTTTTGATGCTTCCAAGAACGCAACATGCAGCAGCTCAAGGCGGCGATGGAAGAATCTACATCACAGGTGGCCTAGAAGCTTACGCCAACGTGTCATCCAATGGCTCCGTTGCATACGAGTTTTACTCAGCACCCATGACTGATACCTTGGTTTACGATATCAACAATGGCTGGGACATCAAGAACACCACAGGTGATATACCAAGCGAACGCATGTTTCACACAATGGTGACATGTAAGTTTAATTGAACACCTACACCGCATGCATTTTATGCAAACGTTTCAGCCACCTTGTGGAGGAAAGAAAATCTCAAGAACGCATTCACTCAATAACGTGTAATCACACAAACACACATCCCTTTTTTTGAACAGCAACGGATGGCAAGTCAATTCTTTTGTATGGCGGTGCTGACAGTGAGTTGAATCAATCTATAACCAGCACACAATCAACTCACATTTGATCAGCTTTGTTTGGTACAAACAACCTTCCCCTTCCTTCAAGAGATGTGGCCTATGTCTTGGATATCAGTGATCCCAACAATTTGGTTTGGAAAAACGTTACCAACACTTTGATCCAAAATTCTGGATCATTCGATCGCTATCTTCGATTCCATCACAACGGTACGCACAACAACATCCTTCTTTATGAAAGCATTCGAAGCTCATTACTAGGGTAATTAGCCATCTTGCTCAATTCAAGCCTATTCATCCTCTTCGGTGGCAACAGCGGTGGTGTCCAACAAGATTTCTTTATCATTGATGTTGATAATTGGAACTTGACAAACTCATTTGCAGGTGCAAACTTGAATGGAAATGGAGCAGGTGGCGGAGGAGATTCTGGTTCATCCTCTGGTATTTCCGGCGGTGCCATTGCAGGCATCGTGGTTGGTGTTGTAGTCGGTGTAAGAATAATTAATAGTGCCTTATGCATTTATCAGAGAACGATGCTCACCATCATTGTATCTTTTTAGGTGGGTATTATTGTTGGTGCCATTGTATTCTTTTTCATTCGACGAAAGCGACAAGCGAAACAGCCATCGGAAAAGAGAGATTACGTTTCTGACAGCAAAGGCGGTAGCAGCAATGAGCCCATGCACCAGAGTTTCCTACCACCATCTTATCAAGAAGCAGCTACCCAGCGACATGAATACTTGTCGTCAAGCAATATAAGCGAGCCACCACATACATCCACCGCTTCACCGACCCGCTCCTCCATGGAACAACAGGCATATCTCATGCAACAGCAACAAGCGATCAAACCACATTCTGATGCCTATCAACGCTCATCAAACGCAGGATTGTCGCCACCACAGCAACCAGGGACACCTGAAGTCTATGTACCTCGTCTCAAATTAATGCCTGTTAAGCCTGATGGCGAGTAAATTTCAATGTACTTTTATCACTGTATCACACTTAAATACACACACACGCATAATTTTCTCTAATCAAGGGGTATACAAGTCGCTATGAAGAGCTCATATATATTTCCGCAGTTGGGTTGTGGCAAGTCGTTCGGTTGACAAACAATGTCCTCTTTAGCAGTTGTAACGATTTCCACAAATTGAAGTTTAACGACATCACAACTTTGTATCAGTGTCTTGGCATGGTCAGTTAATTGTGCCTTTGGTTATTGAGCAAGGTTGGATCACCAAATTCATCCAATGCCATAAGGGGCCATTGCTGCTGAATGAAAAAGGGCACACGTTGCTTGGCAATCGAATGCGTGTTATATATGTAGACATCGAATTGCTTGGTCTCAGCGTGTAAAAGTATCCATCCTATACATGAGAATCCCATTTACGTTGAAGACGACCAATACCAGTAGTAGTAGAATGGCTGTTCCTTCAAAAACAATGGCGAATGGCACGGGCCTTAGAGTAAATGAAAAGATTGTTCCTGCAGCCAAATAGCTAATTACATAAAGGCCCAAACCGGGATTACTTTGCATGGTCATTGTCAGCTTCACGAATAGCGCCTTCTTCTTCTTGGATCTTCCCAAACGAATAATTCGCATGACATGTAAGCATTAAGATTATGCTCCAAATATTCACACGCGTCATCATCATTTATTCATATCAATTACTATGGTCAATCACATTATTGGTTGGCACAGCGAATGATAACGGTTGACGACGTAACGGATGTTGAATAAGAGAATGTTTCTTTGTAGTACATAGCAACCAAGGATGATGACGCTTTGACCATGCAATAAGTGGGCTCACATTTGTAGCGGCGATTCATACAGTGTGAACGTATATGCATGGATTCCCACACGAATTGTATCATCGCATCCCCCTTTCTTTTTATACCTTTTCACTCATGAGTTCTTCTCTTGCAACTTGCCATTTCCCAAACACGATGGCTCGATCTCCCGTCTCTCAATATTATCATTACACTCGCATCGCTAACGCTCGTCGACTATTGCACCACCACCCTACTACTACTACTACTACAAGGAGGTTGCGTCAGCCAGCAGCAACATGTCGACGCTACACCTCATCATCAACTGCAGCCATTTCTCGTGCTGGCACTTTGTATGCAGCCAATGCCTCTTATCGCTCTTTGCAATGGTCAAAGTGGACACACTATGGCCCAGTGGCTGTTACCAGAAGCTTTTATCGAACGTCTGATCAAGATAACGAGCCTCTTCCACCCAAGAATGATGGCACCACACCTCAAATGATCCAAGAAGATGAGCTATTAGGCTACTTTGCACGATTGAGTAATCCACGAACAGTAAGTGTCATCTATATCGATCTAGGGAGAAGCAAAGTGGGAGGGGGGAGGTGATGATGGTTGGTTGGGTGGGAATGGACGTAGGTCTCTGTATTTCGAACTCTCAGAGATAGCTTGTTAGACACTTGGATGAATATGTGATTGGGCAAGAACGAGCAAAAAAGACATTGGCTGTGGCAGTTTTCAACCACTACAACCGAGTACGTGCCAACTTGTATCGTCAAGCTAAGCAACAGCAACGTCAAGAAGAGGAGCAACAACAACAAGCAGCAGCAACCATGGATGGACCTGGTGAGGGTGGTGGTGCACCTCATCATAACACTGATCCTGAACAACGACCCTCCGTACCATGGCCACCTTCGAATACTACCAGGTTGGCACAAAGAGTTCCTGGTGAAATGGTACCTGTGGAAAGGGCATCAGCTTATGGTAAGTGATAGGATCGGATGACAAAGTTTGATATGCATATCCCGGCGCCTATTTCTTACATCAACTCTCCCCTCTCTCTCTCTCTCCCACCCCTTACATAGCTGCACCTCGAAGGCGTAGTTGGACAAATGATGGATTGGTGAATGGCTCTGGTGTTTCATCTACGGATGGTGTTGGATCAACAACAACAACTACTACTACGACTACTTCTACTACGTCTACCTCTGATGAGAATGATACCACAACCAATACCACGGGAGCTGATGGAATGATCAAGCCAATCGCATCAAGACGTTCATCTCCTGAATCTCGGATATTGGATGACATGGAGGACACCACCGTATTTGAAAAGAGCAATGTGCTACTTGTTGGCCCAACAGGATCCGGTATGATTTTCCTCTATCCTCATGTATGCATGTGGTTGCTCATTGCAGGATGTATAGGCAAAACGCTTTTGGCAAAGACCCTTGCTCAAGTGCTTCAAGTACCATTTTCCATGTCGGATGCCACACCTTTTACGCAAGCAGGCTATGTCGGAGAGGATGTGGAATTGGTCATCCAAAGGCTATTGCAGGTATGTGACACCAATCACGGATGATGATGATGGTGGGAAATGGATTGTTTTGTCGATGATGTAATCCATGTTTTTGACACGTGAAACTTGTTTACAGGCATGCGATCACGATGTAAAACGAGCCGAGACTGGTATCGTCTTTATCGATGAGATTGACAAGATTTCAAGGCGAACGGATGCTTCCTCTTCATCACGTGATGTATCAGGCGAAGGTGTACAGCAGGTAAGAAGTCATTGTTGGAAATGTGTGTATGTATGTATACTCATTCTTTATTGTAGTCATTGCTTCGTATGCTTGAAGGAACCGTTGTCAATGTAACCGACAAATCACCCGTCAACTCAGGCCATAACAAGCGAGGTGGTGGTGCAGGTGGTGGTAATGGATTGACCACAGGGGGTACATCGTCATTTGGTGGTGCCGCGCAAAGCAAGCCTGAAGTTTATTCAGTGGATACAAGCAACATTCTCTTCATATTGAGTGGTGCATTCATTGGTTTGGATAAGATTGTGTCGGATCGCGTTTCCAAAGGGGTAAGTTATTCGCATAAGAATGCATGATCTTTTATTTATGCAACTCTTTTTCTTGGTATAGTCTATTGGATTCAATGCTACCATTCGATCATCAGATGACAATGTTCCCGATAAGAAGAATGATTTTGATCCTCTTTCAATGGTTGAACCTTCAGGTATTTGTTGTGGTGGAACAATGAATGAAAGAACAACGGGGATACTCATTGTGTACGTAGATTTGGTCAAGTATGGGTTGATCCCTGAATTCATCGGCCGTATTCCCGTTGTGGCATCTCTAAAGAGCTTGTTGGTCGAAGATCTTGTGCGGATTCTGGTGGAGCCCAAAAACTCACTCGTCAAACAATATCAAGGCCTTTTTCAATTGAATAATGTAATGTGTGCTTAGGTGATATGATGGATGGTTTGAAATGCTCACTTTTTTATTAGGTGGATCTACACTTTAGCCATGCTGCTTTAAGATCTGTTGCTGAAGAGGCCCTTGCAAAGAAGACTGGTGCACGTGGACTTAGACGTATCATGGTAAGAATTGGATTGAAGCAATCATTGGGAATGGGTTTATTTACGAGGGTCATTATTACAGGAGGATTTGCTGCTGGAAGCTATGTATGATGCACCCAATTCATCCATCAAGCATGTTATTGTCGACAGCAAGGTGGCAACTAAAGAGAAGCCTCACATATACCTTCCCGCAAGCCAATCGCATCTGGTGGACTCTATTTTGGCTGAAGACGACAATTTACTATTATCACGTGCTGGTGATAACAACAATGCTGATCAAGCCGCTGCGTCTCTGAACAACAACCAAGACATCAACATTCGTAGAGAAATATCTCAGCAGTTGTAGTTTGTGCACCTTTTGTACCTTTGTATATCCTTCTTGTTCTCTTGTGTTTGATTACATTCAAATTTAACATCCAGCTTTCATGCCTCTCGATGAGAAATTGAGCGATGTACTATATGCAAATGACGGGTTATATAACTACAGAGGATAAGGCTTCATGCAAGAGACATGTTGATCATAGCTTTGGGATAAAAAGCCTATGTCATGGTCAACAACCCACGTTTTACATATAAGAATACATTCGGCAACCACACTTTCAAAGTACAATATATTAAAAACCACAATCAATTTCAATAAAGGCATCTCGGCTATACTACAACAGTGATTTGACTCATGCATCAGCTTGCTTTCTCTTTTTGCCGGCACGTGCCTTGGGTCCCCAGTTAGGTGCAGGATTCTGAGGATATCGTGCAATCTTGATAGTTCGTGATTCGGGGTATGCGTCCTTGTGGCGGGCGAAGCTGATTTGTGTGGTAGGCTCCTTCTTGAGGATGGCCCGTGCGGGTGAATTTTCGGGGATATTCTCCATGACAACGGGATGATCTTTGATCTAATAATTATACAATGAATAAAGTTCCATTATCGCCATCACCACCAAGCCATGGTAACTTACGTAAGCTCGGAAAACATCCCAAACAACATGTGAAGGTGCATTCGTTTTCATCGTGCCAGGACCACAATGGGATGTAGAGACCTTGTATCCAGCATTGAGAATAGCAGAGCTATGTCATCCCGTGTAGTGTAAGTATGATGTTGAACAAATAGCATAAGGATCATACTCACAAGATATCAACCAATGGGGGCGAATTGCAATGAAGCGTACCAGTCAATCGTGCAAGGGTCCAATACAAAGGTGCATCCACTTCTTCGCTGATCACAGTCAACATGCCCTTCATACGTTGGTGCGTTCCATAGTTGGATTCGTTAGCCTTGACGTGTTCTAGCATCTTTTTGACGAAGCTTTGGTCATGTAAAGCAGCTCCCCATGCCGGTCCTCCCACCTACAAAGAAAGAAAAGGTCGTTAAATCTCTCCTCCATGTTGATTATTTGGGCCAACTTACATGATGAATGTTGTTACAATTGTCACAGAGCGCGTTCACAGGTGGACCAGTTCCAGGTGTATGTCGATCTTGGCCATTTTCTCTCTTATCAATCTTGCCAAGGGGTTGTACACTGTAGGCGTGACATCCAGAGCATTCGTACATAACAGCGGTTTTGCTATTATTCATGAAGAGGGTTAGTACATTGCTCCATAAAGCACACATTGTATCCATACCTTGCTGCCTTTTTTACTTCAGCTGGAGAAGTGAAGACACGAACAAAGACGCGAAGATAGAAATCAATGCTGCATGACATGAGAGGGACAATGTAACGACGATAGCGGCCAGCAGAGGTTTGCAAAGTATTGAGGACCAAACGTAATGCCATCTCATGCGGGAACATGCCCTTCAAAGGCATACCATTGTACTTTCCAAAGCTGAAGAAAAAAAGACAACCTATTAATAACTTGTGTCTTCCATCACCGTCCACACACACAATGAGCACCTCCAAATCTTACCAAGTTTCGGGATGCATCGATCCAGTCAAAATAGCAAGGTCGGTACAAGTGACACACAAAAGACCTATACCCAACATTGTCAGCCGAATTGCAATATAGATTTGTCACCATTGCTTATTACCTCCTTCAGAAACTGCTTGAACAGCACCGTCAATAAATGGGGCAGCTGAACCATAGGGATCAAGATCCACAACATCATACTTTTGGCCGTTACCAATAGCACTGTACATGACTTGCCTATCAAAACAAGATAAATAAAATGAATTGACAATACACCCTTAGACGATATACTTACATGGCATCTCCTTGATTAGGTCGCAACAATTCTTCGGTAAGGCCGTTATGCTTCATATTGCGCTTGATAGATTCCACTGCTTCCTCTTCCAAGTCATTGGCTGTCACTTGCTTCAAGTATGGGATTTCCTTTGCATAACGGATAGATCGAAGACCACTTGCGGCCAATGCTTCCAGGATAGTGAAACTCTGTGTGTTGATGTGATTCTTCAATCGCTAAACAAGCCCAAGAAAATGTGGTCAGCCAATGTGATCCGATCCTTATGCAATACTCAAGAAGCCCTTTACCTCTTCACTTTCCTTCCTTTGCTTCTCATCTATTCCAAATATCGTATGAGTATCATCAAACATTATCATCCTATCCCTATCATCATGCACACGCACACACCTTTGGCGTTGGCCACCTTCTTCTCGATACGTGCACGTTTCTCTCCCAAGAACATTTCGCTCCAAGTACGGATCGCCGCAACGGACATGTCGCGATTGAACTCTTGTACAGGGTTGTAGAATACTTCATTGCCTTTTGGGAAGAGAATGGTGGCCTTGCCTTCAGTGACAGGTGTGAACTGAGACAGATCGATCTCTGGCGATGCTGCTGTTGCGTTATTGGTAGGTTCTGAAGCCATGTGGGAATACGGACGTTGCTGTCGAGTGACGAGTGAAAGAGACCGTGTAGAATAGAATCGAGCTGATCGAAAGAGTAGACGACAAGGAATGGTGATCGCTACAACCGACATGCACCGGTTCCGTTCCAAGCTTGAAGCAAAGTGGAAAAATGTGACGGCCTGTGCAACCGAGAAGTTACATGTCAAAAAAGATCACCGCCCCCCACCCCATCTCTTACTGCACAATAGAATAGCATTAGAAGATAATAAAGACATCAATGACAATCAAAAGAGACATAAGAAGATATTCTTTTTACCAATTACGAGCAAACAAAGAAAGATGGCTATGAAGGAACGTGCAAAGACTAATTACAATAGAGGAAAAAGAGGTATAAATATATACATTTGTTGAGTTTTCGTATGCTGTAAAGGGAACATCAAAGCAAGAGTCGGTGCTGGCCAACATAAAGACGATCAATTGACTGACATTGGATTAACAAATGATTCTTCAACCGTAGCACTGCTCCACGTCGTTTGGATGGCATTCGTCCCAATACACGTTCCTGTTGTCGAGGTTCCTTCATATCATACCACCGATAATGATCTAAAACATTAAAGCATAAAAGCATAAGCATTCATTTACCATCCTTATCCAATCCATATATACTTGCCACAACGTGTACCACTGATACGACCCGCATTGGTTGCTGTGTGTACGGCAAATACTTCGATTTGGGATCCACTTCTTCGATAGGTATTGGAGGAACGCAATAAACAAACGTTGTTCAATGACATGATTTCCAAGGATTGATATGGCAACTGGATGGCACCCTTGTTATCTTCCTCAATATCGCTTAAAGTGCAATCATCAAGCTCGAAATGCTGCAAAGAGAGACAACGACGGCCGATGTAGGTGATGACTTTTTCGGAAAGCCTGTTGTGACCACGAATAACAAGACGTTGGAGAGGATGATGTGGTAATGAATGCGAGGATAGGTCTGAAGAGTAGAATCGTCTGTGCGTATTCGTATATAGTTGCATGGTGGTGCATAGCTCGGTGCCGTAGAGTTCGAGGGATTTGAGACTTGAAGCACAATCCAATAGCAGACCAATAGGAAGCTTGCCATAAGGACGCACAATTTCAAGATGACTGAGATACGTTAACAAACGTAGTGACCATGGAAGATTGATGTTCATCGGCATGTACGTAGCACCCTTAAGTCCAAGTGAATGTAAGCTCCCTTTCCACCAATCGAAACATTGCGCAATGGTCCCACTAGGAAAGTTGCGGGTCTCGTCAATCTCCAGATGCTGCAATTTGATATGCCCTGTATCCCACAAAGCATGGAAAAAGTGCCTGTATAATCCAATGTCCTTGAGATGCACTGTATCAAGTTGTCGACATCCTTGTGCAAAGAGACGATAGGATCGTAAACGTGCTGTTTCTACTGAGCTGTTGAGAATGGGTGCATCCATGTATTCGAGTGCAAATGCCATGCTGTAATGGTGTGTAGGATTGGTATCCAAACAAAGAGCGCGTAGATTCGGGTATTTGGAAGCGAAATAAATCAACCATGCTGCAGCCTGGTATTCGGCAAAGTGATAGGGAAGCGTGAGACTGATGTGTTGCATGGATGGCGCGGGCATTGATTCGGGAGGAAGCTGTAACCCCACAAGGTCGGTCTTATTAAAGTCGCTTCGATCCAAGACAAGCTCAAGTCGTTCCAAGTGAGGGCACCAATCATGAACCTCATCCATGCGTTCAAAGGTCCATATCTGCTTACTCCAATTGAGCTGTAACTTTTTGAGCGTGTGCAATCCATTGAGCCAATCGAGATTAACAATGCCATATTCGGATGTAATCGAAAGCTGTGTCAATGACAATGCGGCGTATCCAGCGTTGCTTGGCAACCGTTTCAGATCAGCTACGCGATAAGATGTTGCTGTAGGGCATGTGTCGTTATCAATCGATGTGAAACCAGGATCATTGGAGATGTCGAACACCTGAAGGTTAGGGCATAGCCCTGGTAGTCGTCGCACCATCTCTGCTCGTGGTCGGCTCGCCTTGATACGCAATATCTTTACACAGTGACCAAGGTTCGTGCGTTGTGGCAAACCCTTGCGAGATCGCCTTGCTGATTCGAGTAGCGTGTCGTAAAAGAGTGAACATTGACAACTGTTTGTGATTGACACGGTCGCATAAAGAATCGACGTAAAGGCAATGGACCAATTGTGGCAGACGTAGAGACAAGCAAAGTAGTCCTCGCTGGTGACGTGATGGCTAATGAGAGTGAGGATTTCACGTGGAAGAGATGCTGCCGTCAACGACATTCTGAACGACCGGTTATCAAAGACAAGCAGTACGACAGGAACATGGAGTAAGGAAGAAAAGGCAAAAAATGGGACTTTTGTCAATTAAAGTTTACAGAGTGCTGGTCTACGCCATCACCCTTCTCTCCTGTACAATGCACGTTAACAATACCATTGGCCTATAAAGATGCAGAGCGTAGTACGTGCAACACCATCATCGGTGTAAATGTAGAGTATGACCTATGCCTTGACATGATTACAATAGTCTTCAATGAATAAAGATTATAGCATCTACTATACTCATGGCTCATTCTTGCTCTCCTAACATGTGCGGGGGCTCAACACGAGTTGAAATCAGGATATGTGAAGGATACCCTCTCTCCTTGTTGTGTTACACAAGTTGTAATGCAGACGATACGCAATTGCATGATTGGATAAAACCCATTTTATTGTATTGCTACTATATCTTGATGAGTAGTAAATCCCTGCCTTAGTCATGAAATAAACAACTTTATATGATAATGCATCTAATAATATTACACAGTCTTTGTTGAAAAGCACATCCCTCCTCTCGCTATAATGAACAGCCCTTCTTTCCACTACCAATGTCTATCCAGTAAACTTCGCAAGGAGAGCAATCAACTGTGGTTGTATCCAATGTGCAACGCCAACCCAACTTTTGGATCTTGTCAAAAAACACACGTTCTTCATTGGGGTATCTTGGCTTGTAGATCAGCAATGTTTCCACTCCAGGGTGTCGATCCATCAATCTTTGAAGCGTATCAATCAATAAATCATGGCTGGATTGGTTGTATAACAAGTCGCTGATAATCACGAGGTCCAAGTTGTCATTGTCCATCACTTGCTGATCATCCTTTCCCCATTCTAATGCTTCAACGACCACCTTTTGATGATTGTCCCATTGTTGACGGTCCACATTGTCCTGGATTGAAGATACGGCTTCTGGAAGATCAGTCAAATACATCAACGTAGGTGACAATGCATGTGCAGCATAGATCCCAGCGATCGCTGTTCCACTTCCTGTGGGGTTGTTGCAATACATGATGAGTAGTAAGCGAGGTTGAGAGAGAGAGGGAGTGTGTGTTAGTACAAGTAGGCACGAGAACAAGATACAATCACTTGCCAAGTTCAAGCACATGATCATATCGCTTTGATGGCGAATAATGAGCAAGATAATGACATAGCCATATTCCACAATCCCTGTCAAGATGATGATGAATCGGATTGCCCATTGCAACACGTGCTTGTTCCCATTCCTTTGCACTTACCAAACATGGTCAGCCATCGTGTGGCCCGTGCTTTCGTGTATCTTGACAATCTTCTTATCAGGGCCCACAATGAGCTGTCGCTCACATTCACGCGAGGTTTCCATATCACTTGATCTTCCAAGATGCACGGGTTGTGACCATACAGGAATAATCCATGTATCATCACTTGCTTGTTGTGCAAGATGCCATGTAGAATGAGAGGTCTTGTTCTTGAGGTTGCTGTTGCTGTTGTTGTTGCTACAGGTGAGCACAAGTTGTATTTGTTGTTGTTGGGGGTGTTGAAGGGTTCCAGTGATTGTCAAGTTGCTACGCACCATGCCACCACCCTTAAAAGGGTCATATTCAAGGTTGATACTTTTTGATGCCGTTGAAGCAAAACGAGCTGTTGCATTGTTGCTTAGCAAATGGCAAGTGACGCTCAATGGTTGCAAGAATGGCATCTCGCCAAGATCATTGTCGACAGTCCACACAATACTGAATGGTTGCCCAGGAACAATAGTGTTCGGAGGTGGTTTGAGTAGACGAATATAGTAGAGTTGTTGGGTCATATTTGTATTATTGTGATGGTGGAGATGTGTCAAAAATAAACAAGAAGGGAAAGAAGGAGAGGGTTATAAAAAGAGATGACGTTGGGAGAAAAAGATGTGGCGATGTTCTAATTACACACGATCTGTGATATCTTGTTCCACCCAGTTATCGCCACCAAAATCGACATACAAATGGGCATCGGGAGTAAGCTTGAGAAGACCCTTTTGATGATACGTGGTATTAGCACGTAAATCCTTCTCGGCACGAATACGAATAAGACGATATTGACGACCCCGTTCTAAGCGTGCAAGAGCATCTTGATCTTCTTGACCAGCAACAATTTCACTCTTGGCCCATTCTTCAGTGGCCTTTGTATAAGCCTTCTTTTCCTCTTCGTATGCCAGATACTCTGCTGAAGTAGGCACCTCCAGGATGCCTGCGGGAGGATCATCAGCCTTGGTTGCTTCATCCTTGGTCTTGCGATCGGGATTGCCAGAGATAATAACAGGTACACTTCCAATGTCAATGTGTTCCTGAAGTTCATCCAAGTTTTTGCTAAACTTGATCTTGGCTGCCACCACAGGATCCAACAAAGGCTGAATCATAGCCCAAACTAGAAATGGTAAACGTTGCACGAGTTAATAAGCTTTTTTGCCCATTGTATTAAGATGTGCATGCCATGGTCACACGTCGTACCTGTTGAGAACACCCACGGTGCCTTGTGGATCAAACACAAGCCAAGAGTTTCTGGGTAGTATCGTTCCAAGCATGTAATCAAAAACTTGACAAAGTCGAAATCCTAAACAAACACCCACCCATATGAATATCATCATCCTGCTTCTCCCTTTGTGCTCTGGCAGCTTACCATGTTGGCAAGGGTAAAGTTATCCAAATTGAACACCAAGCAAGCATTCACCATGGGATAGCCACAAAAGACACGAGCGGTCTCCATGAGATACAAGGCTGCAATTTGAATTGCTTCAAAAGGTTGATCCTCCTTGTGGTGAAGTTGAACATTGAGGAAGCTATATAACATTCCAATGCCCTATATTAGAAAAGAAAATCCCCAATGGCACATTCCGCTATTATACACCTACCAAATACCACGATCTGATTTGTCGGGACCACCCAAGGTAGCTTTACCACTCTTGATCTGTCGAATAAAGTCGTCGCCAAGTTGGGGCTTGAGCTTGTTGAGTTCAATGACAAGACCAGATTCACCGAGTTTAGTAATGTCGTCCACACGATTATGTAAACGCCATCGAAGGGTGTTGATGATCATTCTATAGGCAGCGTCGACATCCCATTTGCGAGCACGTAGATATCGCAATACACATGCATCTGGATTGTCAGTGGCCACCATATGCCAAAAGGTGCGTTCGAGCTTTTCACCAGGAATAAGCTTGATGGCTTCTTCAAGGGTCAATGACATCCAACGAGGATCGGCAGTTTTGCCAAGGAACACGGGCTTGTCTTGTTGCACATCCTTGGCAGGTGCTGATGATGATTTTCCGAAACCAAACCAACCACCGCCGCCACCATTCTTCTTTTCTTGTTTTTCTGAAGATGCTTGGGAGGATGAATCACTGTCAGCAGGTGGAGTATAAGGTTCACCAGCTTGCTTGAATAATTCGAATAGACGCAGCCAAATCTTTTTCAGGGCAGCTACTTGGTCGGGAGTAAGAGCACCAGCATGGCCTGGCAATCGACCCTCAAGTGACAAATTGGAAACCATAACGACAATGGAATGTGAGATGCAATGGACAAAGAAAAAAGTGAAAGGAAAAAGCGGGTAAGGGTTGGGTTTGAGCTGCTTTTAAACAAGTAACCAACGAACTTTATCTTTTTCTGTGCTCCCGCGGTCTTTAGACAATACCTCCTCATTGTTGTCTCTTCACCCCAAATAAATCGAAAATCTCATAATTGGATGGGACAATGCCATTACCAAGTACTTGGTTGCTCATATCCAATAAAAGTAAATATGTCATGACACTATGGGAATATCATGCTGTTGCCTTGAGTTATCTATTCTTCCAATGTGAAAGGAGAGATTTGATTGTGCGGGAATCGATAATTGATGTCGATCGGACAAAGAGTGAGTGCCAAGCGAGTATTGTCCTCTCAGGCACAACTCCAATTGCCATTTTAGTGCTTTGCTGGATTCCCTCGTGAAAATTTCACCCCACATATAATGACAACATTGGGGACATTCTTCTTCTCACAATATGATCTCTGGATGATTACAGCAACGTCACCCGATACAACTTGTGTAATAGAAAAGCAACGTTTAGCCATTAAATTAGGCTTCATTTGCACTTGCGTCCACGTGAGATGTCGTATGCTATACCATGGGATACTCAAATACAATGACCCCTTTGTTCGGTACCTCCCTATTTCGAGCTCATTATGGATCGATTGATGCTTCGCAAGGAGACCTCTGACGCAAACACGCATTATCCAATAAAGTTCAACCTGCTAAAATGAGACTACAGACCGAAGCATTTCATTCAAATCATGATTGGAGATGCAAGACAATGCGTACTAGCAATGTGAACAAGGCATCGTAATGGTATCAATCCTTCAACGCTGTAACCCAGGAGTTTGGATCATTAACATTATTTATTGCCTATTCTAGATTGGAACAATGCCTACTCGATATTCATTATCTAAGCGACGTTTTGCTTTAAGCCAGCCAAACACCATCTTTGAACATAAAACATCACGTACTACCAGTGGAAGGAGTAGAGTAACATGCAAATAAAAAAAGCATTGACAACAAATGCCCTGTCAAAATGGCACAGCCAATGAGCGTCGGCTTCATGTTGAGTGGGCGGTGGTGGGTGGGTGGCTGATTAACACAATTTTCAACGGCGACTTCACTCTGTTTCCTGATCACTGAACTCGTCCCGATCGTTTTCTTTTGTTTGGGGGAAAGGGCAGTCAGCAACACATTCACCATGCCGAAATCCAACACTGCATCGAAAAAGAACACGCCTGTCAAAAAGGCACCCGCCACGACCAAGTCAAAGGCAACAACGAAGACTCCACAAAAAAAGACGCCCACCCCACCACAACGACAAGCACCTGTTGCCACCACCACTACCAGTAAAAAGCCAGCTTCCAAAAAACGTACAGTCGAGCAAATCGAAAGTGACGACGAGGATCTTGGTGATATCGCCATTGACATGCGCTCTTCGGACGAGGAAGACGAGGAATCGGACGACGACGACGGCGATCAATCGGTTGACAATAGCGATGTTGAAGCTTTTCCTGAAGTCAGCATAAGCAGTGACGAGGAAGAAGATGAATCCGACGACGAAGCTATCATTGATGAGGAGGACGATGAAGAAGAGGAAGAAGAAGAGGATGAGGATGATTACATGGCAGGCGATAGTTTGGATGAAGCTGATCTTGAAGAGGAGGATGAAGAATTGGCAAGGTAAGAGAAAGAATGGAAGAGAGAGAATGAGGATGAATGATACGAATGAGCTGATAATGGTCATTATAGAAATGCTGGTCAACAACAACGTGAAAAGTTGCCCGAGATTGAAGCCAACTATGATAGTGATTCTTCCACAGAAGAGGTATGATGAGAGTAATGGATGGGATATGATGGATATCGGGTTATTAACATGGCATGCGTGATTTAGACTGAGAATACCATTGGCAATGTACCTCTCGAATGGTACAAAGACTTACCCCATATTGGTTACGACATTGATGGCAAACGCGTGCTTAAGCCTGCTACTGGTGATGAGCTTGAAAAGTTCTTGTCGACGATGGATGATCCCGATTCTTGGAAGACTGTGCGCAGTGATCGTGAAGGCAAGGATGTTGTATTGAACGATGAGGAACTTGATATCATTCGACGTTTGCAAGAGGGCGAGATTCCAGATGCTGGTTACAACCCATACGAGCCTACTGTGGAATTCTTCACTAGCAAGACCGAAGTGATGCCCCTATCAGCAGCACCTGAGCCTAAGCGTCGTTTCGTACCATCCAAATGGGAACATAAAAAGGTAAATGGGAGAAGATAGGATGGTGGATAGGAAAACAGCATGATATTCATGCAATGGATGATAGATTATGAAAATTGTACGTGCCATTCGACAAGGACGTATTGTGCCAAGGAAGCCCAAGGATGAGAAGCCACAATTCTACAACTTATGGGGTGATGATGATACACCACACAAGGATCACATTATGCACATTGCAGCACCCAAGATGAAGTTGCCTGAACACGATGAGAGTTACAATCCACCAGCTGAATATCTCCCTGATGAGGATGAGATCAAGGAATGGAATGAGATGGATGAAGAGGATCGACCAAAGAATTATCTCCCCAAAAAGTGAGTTGATGGTATATTAATGGATCTTGCAAGTGTGGTTGTACTCATTTTGTATTATAGATACAAGAGTTTGCGTCACGTGCCAGCATACGATCGATTCATCAAGGAACGTTTCCAGCGTTGTTTGGATCTTTATTTGGCACCTCGTGTGCGGAAAAACAGAGTATGTATGCCGTTGCTATGCTACCATTATCTCGTATACTCATATTCTTGATAGCTCAATGTCGATCCCGATTCGCTTCTTCCCAAACTCCCAAGTCCCAAAGATCTTCAACCTTTCCCTACTCGTCAAGCACTTTCATACGAAGGCCACACTGCTCGTATTCGTTGTTTGTCAATTCATCCATCAGGCCTTTATGCTCTCTCTGGTTCAGATGACAAGACTGTGCGTCTATGGGAAGTACTTACAGGCCGATGCTTGTTCACATGGCACTTTGAAGAGGTCATCCATACACTTGCATGGAACCCCAACTCGGACGTGTGGCTCTTTGCCATCTCTGTTGGTCACGGTCAAGTCCTATTGATTTCACCTCCTACTCTATGTGCGCCTGAAGTTGCCATGACGACCGATCAATTTGTCAAGGGTGGTTACACACGACCTGCTGGTGATGCTGCCATTATCATCTCGTGGGAGAAGCCAACAGAAAGCGAAGAGGAGAAATTGGGTTACAAGGTGCGATTGCAACACAAGCAAGCTGTCAAGCAAATCACATGGCATCGCAAGGGTGATTATTTCGCAACCGTATCACCTGACGCTCGCGCACTTTACATGCATCAAACCACTAAACATCTTACTCAAATGCCCTTCAAACGACTCAAGGGTATTGTTCAAAAGGTGGCTTTCCATCCCATCAAGCCTATTTTCTTTGTTGCAGTGAGTATACATGGTTGTGGGATCATGGGATCATCAGCATGCTAAGCATTGGGGGTGGCTTTTCTTTTTAGACACAAATGTATGTACGCGTATATGACTTGATGCGACAAGAACTTGTCAAGACTTTGCAACCAAGCATGAAATGGATTTCAAGTATCGATGTCCACCCAGGTGGTGACAACGTCATTATCGGCAGTTACGACAAGCGTGTATGCTGGTTTGATATGGATTTGAGCTCTCGACCTTATAGATCGCTTCGGTAAGTGCTTCCTATCTTTTTGTTCTCATCTTGCATGCTGACGAATCTTTTCATACAGTTATCACGAAAAGGCCGTACGTCAAGTCGTGTATCACAAACGTTACCCATTGTTTGCATCCTCATCCGATGATGGCACTATTCAAGTCTTCCACGGCATGGTATACAATGATCTTTTGCAAAACCCCTTAATTGTACCCGTCAAAATCTTGCGAGGACACGAGACTAAAGATGCTCTTGGTAAGTGTGAATCTCCTTTATCCTTCTCCACTAGCGATGACAACAAAATGACTTATGTGCAACATTTTTTAGGTGTTCTGGATATCGAATTCCATCCTACACAACCCTGGATTTTCTCCTCGGGCGCAGATGGCACCCTGCGTCTCTGGACCTAGATGTGCATTTTTTCCTTTTCTTTCACCCACCATTACACTACTCAATAAACCTGCATTCAAGACTACATTCAATACAGCAAAGCTTTTTTTGATTTATATTCAACATTAACAACGTGATTGGACTATTTGTTTTGTTGTTCCTTTATATACTATCACATTGAGTTAGAAAAAAAGAGTTGATGGTTAGAAGTTATCAGCCAAGTAGTGTTCTTCATCCACAAAGCTCGTGACGACCGTTCGATCAGCAAATTTGCGACCAGCAAGAGCACGTAAAGCTGCCATGGCCTCCTCTGTAGTTTCATATCGCAAAAAGATCTATCATAGAAGAAAACGAATCAGCAACCTTGTATCATGATCGATTCCCACACATCCTATTTACCTTGCCAAGACCAGCAACAGGTTGTCCGCCCTGTGGTTTAGGAATCTTCATATCTACGATACGACCAAACTTGCCACATTCCTCTGCTACATCCTCCCAAATATCTACACGCAATGTATGTTTAATGCAAGATCCCATATCCAACATCCCAAAATAAACACATACCTTGATACTCTTCATCATCTTCAAGTTCTTCAGGTGTTACCATGTTCATCAATTGGACCACTCGTGTTGCATCATCCTCCTTTACCACCATTGGCATAAACATTGTTGAAGGTGCTGCATGATCATGTTTGTGTGCACCAACGCTAGCACGCTGAACCACCAATTTCTTCTCACCCAGTTCCATGTTGTTCAAACCCTGACAAGCAAGATCGGTGACGCTAGGATCTTCATACTCACAGAATGCAAATCCCTAAATGACAGCGTTTAATGACCCTCCTTTTTTGGTATTCCTTTTTCCCTCTCAAACATACCTTTGATTGTCCAGTAGCAGGATCCTTGACGAGATTGAAAGCACGCAACTCACCAAATGATTTGAGTAATTCAATCACCTGATCATCATTCAAATAGATGGGCAAACCGCCAATAAAGATCTTGTTGGGTGTATCGGGAACAGCAGCTAGTAATAGCATTTAGCATTTCCTCCTCTTTGATCACCACAGTGTATCTAACAACTTACTTGAAGATGTATCCACATATTCGCCACCTGGTGGTTGATAATCTTTGGGTCTTCGCACCTTGAGAGTCTGGTTCTGGAAAGTAATACCATCAAATTGCATGGCAGCTGTTGCTTGTTCAGGTGTTTGAAACTAATCCATCTCATGTATGAGTCTCCTTTTTGCCACTATACGAATAAAATCCATCCTACCTCAACGAAGGCGTAGTTCTTGTCATGATTGATCTGGACAGAGACAACGGCGTCCTGATTAGTAGTATTGAACTGCTGCATTGTTGTGTTGAAGAAATCGGCCATGGTGTTCTCATCAACGCCAAAGGGTATCTGACCGACATACAATCGTCGTGCTTGTCGCGCAAGTGTTGCGTTAAGAGCTACTGGACCAGCAGCACCTTGAGTCACTCGTACACGAGATCCATCGGCCATATAAGCGTGGCTGCTAGGAGGTGCAAATGATTGAGGAGTACGTGTACCCACCACTTGACCGGGAAGTGGAAATAAACCTATTACGCACATACATGTACATTAGCACATTCCCCCATCCATTGATGACCATATCCTTTTTCTCTTACCTGTTTGCTTGACTTGTTGTGCTGTCATTCCTTCCATACCAGCAGGTGCCACATCCCAATTGTTGAGCTTTCTTTCACGCTTGTGCAAAGGAACAATGTTCTCATCACGATCACGACGGCTACTGCTTCTTCGTCTACGGTGTGGGCTTGATTCTCTACGTCGTCGATAATCATCATCTCCTCTTCGGCTGCTACGGTGGTGGTGGTGGTGTCGATCGCGAGATCTTGAACGTCCTCTTCTTCTGTCGCGTGAACGATCGCGGTAACGTCGACTGCTGCTGCGGCGATAATCACTATCACGGTCGCTACGGCGATACTCATCTCTGTAATAGTCCTTTTCTCGATGGTAGTCATCTCTCTCTCGGCTGCTATACTTTTCCTCATGTCCATGATCGTATTGGCCTACAGTAGTCATGAGTCGCTATTACAAAACAAGGCATTGAAGAGTAACCTACCGTTAGATTCATAGTAAGCAGGTTCACCACTAGAGGAGCCTTGAAGCTCTTGGCCAACAGAATTCAAAAACGAACTCGCTAGATCAGCGGCCGATTTCGATCCTAGAGATGTGTTCCATAATATGAGTTGTTGTTGTCTACCATAAAAATAAACATCCAAGTCTAGAAGCTCTTTACCAGACGAATCGTAACTCTCATTCCATGACATGGTCGGTGTTGTGAAGAAACGAAGAAACCACGACTCCACAGCACAAATTTATTCTGGCTTCAGCAACGACGACGACGACGACGCTGCTTGCATCCTCGTGCTCGCATGTGCGTACACACCCACCCACTCTTACTCGTCCATATCCATACATACATCTATCATACTTGTAGTATGCGTCATATCCTTCTTTCATTTGCAGACGTATTGGATGATCAAGACAACAACATAGCCCCAAGCTCCCTTACTCATATAAACCTGTTGTCGGCTTGTAGCAACAACAATGAAAGTTGGTGGATCAATCAGAGTGTACATGCTGTAAGGAAAAAGTAAAGTGTCTCTCGATCAAATGGATCACCCATAGATATAGCTTGGGGCCTGGTATGTAGCATGAAGGACCCATTGGTTTATACAACAACTTCTCCCCTTAATGCAAAACAATCAAATCGTGGCGTACCAAGAAAGAGAGGTAAGAAAAAAAAAAAAAGAATCCCACGCACCCACCAATGATCGATGGTATGTGTGAATTGCATGATACACGATCTTTAAATGATGGTATTATTTGTCTAACCGCGGATAATCCTGTTATGTGAATATGGACCATTTCACTGTGTAGATGAAACAAAAAGATGATGTGGCGAATCGTTCATGAATCCATGTGAAACCCGATCCCAGACCCGCACTCACGAAAAATATGATAACTTCTTTTAGACAAGAATTGCGACCATTGTATAACAGCACCTTCCTCGTTTACTGCCAAGGTTATTTTTGCACAATACCATGATCAAGATATAAACCTGCAAACTCTATATTGGAAAAGGGATCAAAAAGTGTATCGGATTTGATGTCTCTATGATGGATCAAATGGTGGAGTGGGGAAAAGGATGATTGTTGTTTAAAGAACGATTGAAAAGAGGATTGACTCGGTGGATGCGGGGTTGCATGTGTGTGATGATGTTTAGCGGAGCGGGCAAAGTGATAGAAAATAGGGCTTCCCCTTATGGATGCAAGGTGTGTGTGGGGGAGCCATGGAAAAAAAGAAACGCTAATGGGTGGATTGGGGTAATGGTGGTATGTATGCGTGTGTGTCATGGGTGATGAAAACAAAACATTGGATCAAATCACTGTTCCACGCCACATGGTAAGTGAATGTGCTTGTGTATTATAGATTCAACAGCAGCAGCAACGACCTCCTGCATGAAAAGATATACCAAAGAAGAGATTTTTGGAGTGATGAAAAAAGTGACTTGATTTTTGGGCACGGTGGAAGAACCCGGGACCGCCAGGCACCCTCTAATGGCAGGAAGATCACCTCTAATGGTAAGAAATCAGACCTATCCTTCTCCAATAGCCTGATAGTAGGGGCAAACGCATATCCATTCCAATCCTTATATAAATACGGTCGTGCATTTAGGACAACGGTTGTTCACCGATTTAACTGCAACACCCTTCTCTTTTTATTTTTGGGCTACTTTTACCACGATGTTATCTCGAGCCCTTGCTTCCAAGAGTGGAAGTGCTGCCATGATGGCACGCACCATGGTTCCACGCCTTGCACGTCCTACTGCTTTGCGCTCTATGCCTATGGCACGCAACACTGCTGCTCCTCGTCAAATGTTTGTTCGCTTGCAACATGCCACCAAGCCTGCAGGTGCCACTCACCAGGTGTTTAAGCCTCTTGATACTTTCCCTCGTCGACACATTGGCCCTGATGATGCCGACAAAGCAGCTATGCTCAAGTCTATTGGCCTTAAGGATATCGATGAATTGTTGTCCAAAACCATCCCACCCGCTATTCGCTCTCCCAAGGCTTTGGCATTGAGTGAAGGTGTTCCAGAACGTGAATTGCTCAAGCGTCTCAAGAGCATCGCCTCCAAGAACAAAGTCTACCGCTCTTACATTGGTATGGGTTATACCGATACTGTTGTGCCCAACGTCATCTTGAGAAACGTTTTGGAGAACCCTGCATGGTACACTCAGGTAAAAAAAGGACTTGGGAATGGCAAAAAAAAGTGACAGTTGCTGTTTTGGGATAAGTACATGGGTATCTAATATATGTGTTGTGTCAATTAGTATACGCCCTATCAACCTGAAATCTCTCAAGGTCGTCTTGAGTCCCTCCTCAACTTCCAAACCATGGTCTCTGATATGACTGGTCTCCCTATTGCCAACGCATCTTTGCTTGATGAAGGCACTGCTGCTGCTGAAGCTATGCTTATGTGCTGGCAATCCGGTCGTCGTGCCAAGAACACCTTCATTGTTGACGAGAACTGCCACCCTCAAACTATTGCTTGTCTCAAGACTCGTGCCGAATCATTCAACATCAACGTTGTTGTTGCCAACGTTTTCAACTTCAAGTTTGAAGAACACAAGAAGGATTTGGCTGGCGTTTTGTTACAGGTAAAATTGAAAAGGATAAATTTTTGTTGTTGTGTGTATATGGCTAAACCTTGTTGATTATATAGTACCCCAATACTCGTGGTACCGTCCATGACTATGAGGCTCTCACTGCCACTGTTCACGCCGCCGGTGGTAAGGTTGCCGTTGCCACTGATTTGATGGCCTTGGCTGTGCTCAAGGCTCCTGGTGAATTTGGTGCCGATATTGCTCTTGGTAACAGCCAACGTTTCGGTGTCCCACTTGGCTTTGGTGGTCCTCATGCCGCCTTCTTTGCATGCAAGGATGACCAAAAGCGTCGTATGCCAGGTCGTTTGATTGGTGTTTCAAAGGATGCTCAAGGCAAACCAGCTCTTCGTCTTGCTTTGCAAACTCGTGAACAACACATTCGTCGTGAAAAGGCCACCAGCAACATTTGCACTGCTCAAGCATTGCTTGCCAACATGTCTGCCATGTATGCTGTTTACCATGGTCCCGAGGTAAGAAGAAAACACACGTGTATATATATGTTGTATGGGATCAAGCGACTCATGTGATTTTATTAGGGCATCAAAAACATTGCCAACCGCATCCACAACATGACCTCTGTTCTCGCTCAAGGTTTGCGTACCGCTGGTTACACCATCGAAAATGATGGCGCCTTCTTTGATACCCTTTCCGTCAAGGTCGAAAGCTCCTCTGCTGTTCTCCAAAAGGCCCTTGAGAAGCAAATCAACTTGCGTGCCATCAATGCCCACACTGTCTCCATGACTCTTGATGAAAGCGTCACTCAACAAGATGTTGCCGATTTGTTCTCAGTGTTCAGCAAGGAAGGTCAACAAATCAACCTTGAACAAGTTCTTGATGCTCCCTCTGGTATCCCTGTTCCTTTGAAGCGTGCTTCGCCTTACTTGCAACACCCTGTTTTCAACAGCTACCGCTCTGAAACCGAAATGTTGCGTTACATCCATCAACTTCAAAGCCGTGACTTGTCCCTTGTTCACTCCATGATTCCTCTTGGTTCTTGTACCATGAAGCTTAATGCTACCACTGAGATGGTTCCTGTTACTTGGCCCGAATTTGGTAACATCCATCCTTTTGCCCCTGAAGATCAAACTGAAGGATATCGTATCATGCTTGATGAGTTCTCCAAGGACCTTGCCGAGATCACTGGTTTCGATGAAGTTTCTTTGCAACCCAACTCTGGTGCCCAAGGTGAATACGCTGGTCTTCGTGCCATTGGTGCCTACCATGAAGCACGTGGTGAATCTCACCGCAACGTCTGCTTGATCCCTATCTCTGCTCACGGTACCAACCCTGCTTCTGCTGCTATGGCTGGTATGGATGTTGTCATTGTCAAGTGTGATAACAACGGTAACTTGGATATGGCTGATCTCAAGGCTAAGGCTGAAAAGCACAAGGACAAGCTTGCTGCTTTCATGGTCACCTACCCCTCTACCTTTGGTATGTTCGAACCTGGTGTTGTCGAAGCTTGTGAGACCGTTCACAAGTATGGTGGTCAAGTTTACATGGATGGTGCCAACCTCAATGCCCAAATTGGTCTTACCAAGCCTGCCGAAATTGGTGCCGATGTTTGCCACATGAACTTGCACAAGACTTTCTGTATCCCTCACGGTGGTGGTGGTGTAAGTATAACAACAATAAGGATTTATCAATATGTGATGGAACTAATGGTATTTTTTCAATAGCCTGGTATGGGTCCTATTGCATGCAAGGAACATCTTGCTCCTCACCTTCCTGGTCATCCTGTTGTCAAGACCGGTGGTCAAAACGCCATTGGCCCTGTCTCTGCTGCTCCTTATGGTTCGGCTTCCATCCTTCCCATCTCTTGGGCTTACATCAAGATGATGGGTAGTGAAGGTATGACCGAGGCTACCAAGACCGCTTTGTTGAGTGCCAACTACATGCGTGCCCGTTTGGCTGATCACTACGACATCTTGTACACCAACGAGAATGGCATGTGTGGTCACGAATTTATTGTTGACATCCGTCCATTTGTGCCCAAGGGTATTGAAGCTATTGATGTTGCCAAGCGTCTTCAAGATTATGGTTTCCACAGCCCTACCATGTCTTTCCCTGTCACCAACACCCTCATGGTTGAGCCTACTGAATCCGAATCCAAGGCTGAACTTGATCGCTTCTGTGATGCTATGATTGCTATTCGTAAGGAGATTCAAGATGTCATTGACGGCAAGGTGAACAAGGAAAACAACGTGCTCAAGAACTCTCCTCACTCTTTGGAGGTCATGATGGGTGACAAGTGGGATCATCCTTACACCCGTGAAGAAGCCGCTTTCCCTATGGCTCATCTTCGTCAAAACAAGTTTTGGCCTTCCGTTGCTCGTGTTGATGATGCCTGGGGTGATCGTAACCTTATGTGCACTTGCCCTTCGCCTGAGGAGTACCTTGATGAGTAAATCTAATGCTCAATCATATCACACTACGTATACTACCTCCTCTCTTATCAATCTCCCTCAACTCCCATGTTTATAATAGTTTGATCTCATCATCATCACTCCTCACCACCCGCTGCATTAGACTGTGTATATACCTTCTGGATTAATATAATACTGGGCTCAACCCTTTGTATTCTATTACAATAACTTTTCACGTGATTGATTTTCGGGATAAATGTTGTTGACAAGTGCCATTGTATGCTTGGCTCATTGTAAGCTTAATTCATTATGTGCACGAAAGATTGAGAAAGAGCTACCATGCATTCTTCACCAATAGCATTTGCTCTCTTGATTTTGTTACACAACAAGCCCGCTGCATAATATAGCTCTTGTATGAGTGAGGCGATTGATGATGAACAAAGACCAGTATTCCTATAGCACCCGTTTTACCCTTGCCACATTGCTCATTCTTAAACGTAACGGTTTAAGCCTACAATGGACCGAGCTTCTGTAACAAGCAATACTAAGGGTTTATTATCTTTGGGAATACAAGCATCTATTTAAACATGTGTACCATCCATATCGTCTTTCAGCATATGAACAAGGAAGCTTTAATGAATGTAACATGACAAAAGGAACAAAAGCCTCTCAATACAATAATGTAGGTGATCCAATCTCGCTTTCCAACTTCCTAATTTCTATCCTCCCTTTCATTCCAGAAGCCAGCCAGTGGATCACATAGCGTCAGCGGGTATCGTTGTGTCATTGTATTATTGGTGGCTGCCATCATCATCATCTCCATCCATGATTGCAAACTAAATGCTGTGCGTGCCTTGACTCCATCATTCCAATAGCATCCATGGCGGCAAACCATCTCTCCTCAAAGATACAAGCCCTCTTATCCATGCCATCCGATCCATCGCCATCTTCAACCGTATCCACGTGGTACAATTCATCGTTCCTGCTGGTGACGCGCCAAGTAACCAAAGCAACATTCCAGGATTCCTCATCACTCCACTTGATTGCATCCCTCCATCCATAACCAGTGCAAATCCAATGTTGGTTGAAAAGAGCCACGTGATCGCTTCTGTATGCTTCCTTTTCCCTCCAGCTGTTGGTCTACCTCTTTCTTGGTCATTCTCTATCGCGGCTCAACCAGGTGAAGATTGCTTGTATTGCGGGTACTTGATAGCTGATATGGGGATCATCCATTGGAAGTCGTATGCATCAAAGCAAAGTTGCCACGCGTAAATAAAGCTGCTTCTATGCAACGGCTATCTGCTGGTCCACGCAAAAGAGCTGTAAGGCAAGATGCTGCAAGTAACGTGAGACAATGGTGACCTTGCTAATAGCAACTGCTGTTACGTCTTGTCGTGTAGAGGAGAGTACAAGAGCGTGTGTTGTAGTAGAGTGACAAGATGGTGGACGCTGTTTGAGACAATGGAGTGAAGACCTTGCTAATGGCAGCTGCTGCAACGAATGCTATTACGTTTGATTGTGGCAGAGGAGTGTGCAAGAGAGTGCGAGCATCGTCAAAAGCGTACGTTGTAGTGGGGTGTACACGCCATGGACATGCCATTCAGTCAACGACAATCGGATCAAGAGAGTTGTAGGGTTGACATGATGGGCTGAAGCAGGACAATCGTTCGCAGGTGGTAGTTGTATACTTGGATGGGGCAACAGTTGAGAATGGGAGGAAGAGACAAGAAGGTGTGGGAGTGGAAGAAGTGGAAATTAAATAGGGCGGACACCTCTTGTATAAATGCATGAACACTGTACATCAATCCTTGATATTGAGATTGCCCTTCTTGATCCTGAAACTTTCACACAAGATGCTCTTGTACATGCTGGTCAGGTTGTTCTAATAAAAACCACATGTTCCATTGGAAAATTTGGAATGGGAGGGTACAATGTGGGTTTACTATGTAAGTCGGAAATGAAGGTCAGCGTCAGATTCATGATCTATCAATATAGCATGTATTACCTTGGGATTCCTCTTCTCAATCTTGAAACTTTGTCAGAAGGTTCGCTGCAACATGCTGATCAACTTCATTTATTTAAAAACCATACACTTCATTAAGAATGTCTTGAATGCGGGAGGGTCCAAATGGTGGATGACGGCAACAAAAGAGCGGACGGCCCACCGCCCCGAAGTTGCCCACCTCCAACTTGAAAATTGGTCAGAAGGATGCTCCGGGCATGCTGAACAACTTTTTTCTACTAAAAACCTCATGCTTCATTTGAAAATTTGGAATGGGAGCGTCCAAAAGTTTGAAAGACGGAGACATTCGCAGGGTCTGCGATTCATTAATTTTCATGTTTGCTGTTTGGGCGTAGCTCAGTCAAATCAGCTCGGATCAAGACACTTGAATCATGGAAATGCTCGGCTGGAGCAGGACCATCGTTCCATTGTCATACAATGAACAAAAGTTGGGATCGAGAGGAAGTGGCTGTTAGCTGGCAATACATGAATGTTACTGGATAATGGATAAAGTATCCTTCCACTCATGCAAAACAGCTGAGTTACACAAAGATGCCCCTGCGCATCTTTTGGTCTATCAGGGTCAAGCTGATTCACAATGAACAAAGATCACTTCTCATATAGCATCACCCTTACAGCATATGTAAAACATAAAGGTGCCTGTATATCCAAACTTTACAATGAAACGTGGGCTCTTTAATAGATCAACGTGCTCGTCGGGGTCAAAGGAATCTTGTGTCAAAGTATGAAGTTCATCGTGGGCGATCCCAGATTTCGCAATGTCGCCACCAGCCAAACTGGATCCGGGGCTCAACCTCTTTCGACGACGAAGACCAAAAATATTTTTTGGGCTGTTTGCGACATTGAACGTGAAACTTTCACACAAGGTGCAGTTGGCCAAGCCGAGCCCATTGCTCCATTAAAAACCCTGTGTTTGATTGTAAAGTTTGGAGATACAGGCACCTTTATGTTTGTAAGCGTGATGCTATATGAAGAGTGGTCTTTGTCCATTGTCAAGTAGCTAGACCCTGACAGAGCAAAAGATGCAGAGGGTCGTGTTGTGTAACACAGCTACGTTTGCACGAATGAAAGGGTCATTGTATAATTACTTTATGGATCATCTAGGAACAGGCATGTATTGCTAG